TTTTTTTGTGGAACCCGGGATTGAACTCAGGCCCTTGCACTTGCCAGGGAAGTGCTTATTCTACTGAGCCATCTCCCCAGCCCTCTTTTCCCATTTTCAAAAAACCCCTCCGGTGACACTGGTTTTTAATTTACTTTGCCAAGGGTTAGCTTGGAGGCTCACAGAAACTGGGACCAGGATAAGTGCTCAGTCCAAAAAAAGAGATGTACATGGAAAAGATCAATAAAATAATTAGAGGGCCACATGAAGGCTGAACTAGTGTCAGATTCTGGCTTAAAGCCTGCCACAAAATGAAGCTTTATCATCGAATGATATCAACTCATTTGCCACTACAAAGCCTGCCATCAGATACAGCTCAGTGTCACCTGCCACCCACTGATAGAGCTTGCTCATGAGTCTACAAACAGTTGATTTGTGGTCTTTGTGCAGGGAAACCTCTGCAAATGCAAATGCACAGCCACTCCCCAGGGCTAGCATCACTGCCTCAGATCAACCTCATATCACCAGTCAATAGACTCACTCAGCCGCAATCCCGCAGGGGTGCAGGGCAGAGTGGGCTTCATGCTTCTCTGAGATTCCAAGGCCCTCCAGCCTGACAGGAAGCGGAGCTCAGGTGCAGATGGAAGTGGTGGGGCGCAGCTGCACATGCAGATGACACTTCAGCCGCCACTCTGTCCCTCGCCTGCCACTGTGTGGCCTGGTTCTCAGGAGGCCACAGCAGGAATCAACACCGCACTAGGTGACATCATTCCCTCTTCCTCCAGATGGAAGAGTCAGAAATACCCCGGATGTGACCGAGTGTCCTTGCTTATGGCCAGCAGCCACCTGTGCTAAGAGCTGCCATTTGAGAATAGGAAGAGACAGATCCTTTTCCTTCTCTCACCCCCATCTGGAGAAGAAAGACCACGGGGCCCAACTGCACGAGGCACAGGCAGGAAGCAATGGCAGGGATGTCTGAGCTGGAGGACCCTCACTGGTGGGACTGATGGGGTGAGGTCCCCAGCAGCCCAGCTGCCAGAGCCGAGGTCCCCAGCAGGGAGGCTCCTGAAGGTAGCAACCAGTGGGGTGTTGTGTGTCCCTTAGCATGTCTTAGGAGATAAACTCCCCAGGAGGTGAGGCTCCTGTAGGTTGGGCCAAGAAAACTGAGAGCCTAGACAGGTTAGGTTCCTGTAGGTGAAGCCTAGGAAGGTGAGACCCCAGACAGTTGAGACCCAGAGGAGTATGGCCCCAAAGAGATGAGACCCCAGAAAGGTGAGACCCCATACAGGTGAGACCCCAGACATCTGAGACCCCACAGAAGTGTGATCCCAGACAGGAGAGACCCAGACAGGCAACAACCCATAATTGATACCCCCTTAAGTGTTGAGTAAGAACCCTGCAGTAAGGACCCTGGCAGGCACACCCCTCAGGTGGGTCCCACCCAAGTGCGTCCCCATAGAGGAATCCCTCACAGCTGAGACTCTGGATGAGGCCAGGCTGGTCCCGTCATGTGAACCAGGCGGCAATGCTGGCCACCGTCTGGTACCTGGGCCCTTCCTGCAGCCGCCAGCAGGCCTTGCAGAAAGCCAGGGCCCAGCTACCACTGACCACACGCAGCGTCTCCCGCCAGCGGAAGAAGCGCAGGTAGCGGGCGTCGTCCTTGTCCAGCGCCAGCAGGTGCTGCGCCAGGGCCTGGGGACTCGGGAAGTCGTCCACGTGGATGAAGGCGTCAGGAGGCAGGAAGCGCTCGTAGTTGCTGCGGCTGGGGCCCAGGACCACGGGCACCGCGGGTGCCTGCAGCGCGTTCTTCCACAGCTTCTCTGTGATGTAGTCTGGGTGCTGTGAGTTCTCGAAGGCCAAGTAGAACTTATACCGGGCCAGGTGCTGCTGCATGCCCTGGCGGGGCAGCGGCCGGTGGCCCTTGCCGTACACGTCCACTGGGAGATGCAGCTGCAGCTGTTTGTAGTACCTCACCCTGGCTGAGCCCTCCCTCCAGTTGGACACGGCCCAGGCCACCAGCCCTGTCTTGGCTGAGAGGTTGAGTGGGGGGGCAGCGGGCTGGTCTCCCCTGGGCATCAGCCAGCCATAGGGCGTGAAGATGTCCGAGTCACTGCGATACGACATGGTGAGGTTGAACAAGCCATCTAGGGCCTGCAACTGACTGCAGTGACTGGGGGACTCCATGCTGAACCACACCCAGCGCTGGCCGGGTGGCCGCGGCGATGGCGGGAGCTGAGCCTTAGGCCTGTAGCTGATGTCCCGGTGGTGCACGATGACAGCATCTGCGCTCTGGTACACTTTGCGGTTGGCGGTTATCTGGCAGTCGGCTGTGCCCGGCCACAGGTCCGAGCAGCGGGACAGAGACACGGGCTTGTTGAAAGGCCACGTCCACAGCAGGATGAGCAGGTTCTGGGGCGCAGGGGGCTGTGGGGTGGATGCCAGCCCTACGGACCCGTGGAGGGTCCTGGTGACCACATCTGAGGTGCTGGCCTCTGTTCTAGGGAACCCCATGGGATGGTCCTGGGACACCCGCAGGTATGAGAAGAAGCAGATGGCCAAGAGCAGCTGCAGGAGCAGCCCAGAGAGACACTGCCTCCAGGAGCACTGGAGCCCCTTCATGGCCCGGGCAGCTGCAAAGAAGTAGGAGGGCTTCATTTCTGCTCAATTCTCCCCCAAGGAGAGCTGAGCATAGACTCACCACACCCCAGCAGGCCCCGCAGAAGAGAATGGAAAGCAGACATTGGAGGGGACATTGGATATCAGTTAACAGCATGGGTCCTAGCAGACAAAAGTTGGCTGTGACCTCGGTGCCCACTGCATGTGGGTGACCACAGCCTAGTCCATTCGTGCTGGAACAATATAGGCCATGAGCAGGAAGAAGCCCTGACAGCTGCTGCGATGTGGATGGACGGTAAGGCCCGTGCAGTGAGAGCCGAGCAGGACGCGCAGTGGTGATGCCATGGGTGGAAAGCGTGCAGAACAGGGAATTCATGGGGCCGGATGCTTACTGGCACAGGCTGGGCCAGGGGTGAGGCCCGGGAAAGAAAGGAAAGGAGCAAGTGTACAGTGTCTCAGGGGAACCTGGAACCCTAGGCACCAGGAGGGCTCTTGTTCAGGCTACGGAGGAGAGCAGATTGGGGGTGGGAGGCCTCGTTTGAGATGTTGCCTAACATTAGCCCCAGGGTATTTCTCAAGAACAATGCTGAAAACCCATATTTTTTTTTTTTGTTTGTTTGTTTGCTTATTCTGGATTTTT